CAACCCAGGACGAGAAATTTGAAACTCGACTTCAGCTGAATCCCATAAGATTTCCGAGTAATTCAACAACGTCCGACAGATTCTCGTCTGATGTCGGTTCTGTTGATTTCCGATAGTTGATCCAATAGTCGGAAAACATCGGCTGCAAGCTGAATTCCATACACACTTTTTGAATTTAGATCGAAAGTCTTAAATCTAAATTTAAAAGAGAGCGTCGTCCATTTCAACAAACTTCCGAGCAAGTCCAACGAATGAAACTGAAGCATGGTAGCAACTATGGTCGTCCCATAAAAGGCAATGATAATATAACTGCACCCCGTCGTGAAGTAAGTTTTAATCAAACTTTGTATTCGAATATAGATGAAGAACTAAAAGCGATTATTTTTGTTTCTGATTAAAGATTCCTATTGATTTTTGGAATAAGATAGATCTTAATGATGATCCTGAAGATTTAGATAAAAGTATTCAATTTATGAAAAAAGAGTTGTTACAAGAAAAAGTAAATTTTGATGAAGTCAGAATTGCGTGGAAAAAAACATTGGTAGCAAGAAGAAAATTTATTCAAACTCATACAACAAAAGAAGTGTCACAAGAGTTTCCTGGTTATCATCATGTTCTATTGGTAAGCATATCTACATTATTTGATTAGATTTGAAGAAGTGGTGCATCACTTAATAGATCTTAAAGTAATTTGATTGCACTAAGTCATTTATTTTAAGATTTTCGACGAGATTCAATACCTATGTAATGTTGATATTGAGTCAAATTTAGAAAATGCTTTGCCAAAATTACTTGGTATAATACCTGAAAATTCAGGTTTTGTAAATGACAAGTATCTAATTAGATTACGGAATGTTTTCACATGTTTTATATTTTTTCATGACTGTTTAGATCTTCCAGCAGTACGATTAATTAAACTGTGAAGTAAACATTTTCAAGATTCATGGCAATATTTATTACAAAATAAAGTAAGTGCTAAATTTTTATTAAAAACTCAGTTAATCTACAAGGCAAAATTTTTATCTTATACAATACATTTAACAATAAGTTTATGTCTGCATAAATATATCTTATTTTCATCATACAGGAACTAGCGTGTGCTCGTTCAACTATACAAGTAACATCAGATGACTTTAATATATATTTGGAGTTTAATATGATCACTCAAACAAAATCCATAAATCAAGCATTAAGCATTGTTATTTCATTATATGTTATATTCGAATTACAATTTGGTACGCGCAACCGAGTTATTCATTTATTGTATGGAATATTGCTGCAAGAGCCAAGCATTCTTTCGAAACAATTACGACTTACATTAAAACAATGGGATTTTCATATTGATAAAAAAGAACATACAAGAAGTATGCAACCTGTTACAACTGCTTCAACAAATAATAATACACAAAGGGTGTGGGTGTGGGTGGATATGGGTGTGGATGGATAGAATAGCAAGACCCACACCCACCCTCACCCCACACCCACACCCTCAAGATCCATTTGAATGTCTTTTTGACCGTGATAGAACAGGAACGAATGTATAGTAGTGAGATGAAAGTAAATGAAAGAACAAAAGAAATACCCATAAAACAATGGCGATTATATTATTGATTGACGTTGCATATCTTTGTTGAAAAAAAAGTTATTGTTAAACCAGAAAAAAAAAATTCTCAGAACTTATGCGCCACTGTAATAATTTAAAAGAAAGAACCTTTAATAAAAAAAATTGTATCGAAAGAGATCATCTAGTAGAGTGTGCCTGTTCTCTTAAGATATACTCACACTCTTAACAATCGATCTGAATGAGTATGAAAATAAAGATAAATAGCATGTAGGTATGGATGAAGGAAAGGAATACACCCACACCCACGCCCTACATTTAATTAGAAAAGAACTCGGCAAATAAAAGCAAACTTGATACCGGACGCGATCAGTTTCAACAGACTAACAAATGATGGAAGTAATAGATTCAACTAACGTCAACAGATTTTATGAGCATCAAGAATATCCACCTCTTGCAATAGAGAAAGAAATAATTCAAGTATTGATTGTGAATGATTGGTCATCGATGTCGATACGTTTTCATGGATTTACACTCACATCCATTGTTTTTGGAACTCAAAAGTAAAAGAAATAATGAAAAAAGCAACAATTCTAATGGCATGTAAATTTCTCTTTTACTGAGACAAGAAATTCATACAATGCTTTTCGAAAAACACTACCACCAAACAATATATAAATATAGAAAGTTATGCCGTTGGATATGTCGTAAGCCAAAATAGCCATATCGTATACGAAAGCATTAATCGCCAATTCAACTGGAGATCCATTATCGCCCCATATTGATGAGTAAAATTTGTCTAGACATAAGGGAAAAGTAAAAACGCTATTAAGAATAACTTGAGATAAAAGCATTCGAAGAATACTGTGTTCTATTTTCTTGAACCTTCCCAATGAAATTCTAGTATTCAAATGAGATGAATTATTGGCAATAGATCTGATAGTATTTGATTGTAGTATTTGCACACGATGCTGAGATTGTCGTATGTTTGAAATAATTAATAAACTAAATAATATCATGAGAATTACAGGAATGCCCACTGTAACTACAGCAAGAGATAAATCAGTGAGATAACGACATACGACTGTTTTTCCATAGCATTGCAGAGGAGTATCAATGAGATTAGCTTCATAACAATATAATTGTTGTGAATAGCAAATAGCTGAAAGAATGATAACAATGGTTGTCCATAACTGAGAGTTCTTCAATGAGCTCTTTTGACGACGAAGAGCATTAGTACTTGATAGAAACCATCGATCAATAGTTGCTAATACCATTAACCATGTAGCCATTGTTCTCGTCGAGAATACGAGAAAAGCCCGAATTTTACATATTGACCCAATATAACTAGTAGGATTAGTCGTCCAACCAGCAATCATTAGTGTACTGAGACCAGATACAAGAGAGACAAGATCAACAATGGATAGAACAAGAAAAATCCAAGCACATGAATTTGAACGATAAGATCGTTGAGATAAAATGAAAATATTAAGAATATTACCGATAACACCAAATAAAAATATAAAAACCGCCAGAGAACGATTGAATTCAGCTGTCATATTGCTCAAAAATGCAATAAAAGATGTATTATTTGACATCGATGACATCTTTCTCTTTTCAAATGTTGAACACTTATACTGAAATGACATGATATAAGAGGATAGTTTACATTATTGATATAGAAAAACTTATAACTTCAGATATAAAATTTTAAATCATTTCATATCAAAACAATGTATGAAATTATCATAAGAAATTCTAAGTTCT